GTGGCGAGTGGCTGAACTTCAGAGCACCTTGCTTTACCCACCTGGGGAACGGGAATAATTCTGAATGCCCTCGCAACGAGGGGGTTGAGACTCCAAAAATGTCAGTGATTCATGCAGAGATCCCCAGAGGACAAGCACTAAGAGCCACCAGTATACTCTGGTGTAGGTTGTAGCCACGTTGGTCTAAAGACACAGGCAGACAAGATTCTTTGTGCAAATCTGGTATCTTTTATTAGACCGACTCAACCTTGACCACAAAACCTTGTCTACCAACCTTGACTACAAAACCTTATCTACCAATGTACGTTGGCATTTCTAGCCTTGCCTAGTAGATAGACGGTGACACCAGCCTGAGATGCCAAATAACCGGGATCTATTCCTGGCTCGGCCACCGACCACTCAGCAAGACAACCCACCTCTCTTCCTCGGTTTCTTCTTCAAAACACCTAATTCCTTAGTAAACCTTTTTTTTTTTCTTCAGGACTATGGCTATAGCAAACTCATGGCTATTATTTATCAGGGCCCCTAAAGTTCAGACTAACTCCTCCATGCACGTGATGGAGCCTAATCCCACTGGCGTTAATTGACATCAGCTGAGGATGGGACCCTTTGTTTTTAAGCCAATGGAAATGGCATTAATGCTGATTTCTGTGCAGGAGGCTTTCACATAACAATTCCTTCTCTCCAGAGCCAAATATTAAAGGAGAATGAATAGCTGTGCAGTCAGGAAGCCTTAGCCAGGACCAACCTGGGGAGTTATGAGAGTTAGAGAGACTTTTTAATGAAAGGGATGCCCCTACCTAGGGCAGAGGGCTAGGCCAGATGACCTCCTGAGGTCAGCCCTATTCATCTCTGACCTTATAACTTATCCATGATGAACAGACTCCACATCCTGAGCTCCCCCCACAGCCACAGTGACTGCAGCAAGCGTGACAACGGCTCGGCCAGGGGCGTTCAGACCATCACCTCCATGGCAGACCAAAAGCACTCCCTCCTCTACCAGGATCCACTTGTCATCTCGCGCCGTGGGGTTACATGCCACGTTAGTTTGGGACCTCCTCTCTGTGCTGGGTCTGCATTTGGGAGGCCTGGCCCCGGCCTCGGGGATGCCAGGGCAATAGGAACACAGACCGTGCTTTCTGCCAGGTCAGAACGCAACCGTGCCCCGTCACCCGGCTATATTCTTTAGCGGTATTGCTGTGGAAATAGAAAGAGCCGTCAACATTTGCAGCAGATGGCTCCAGTCAAATGCAGGGTGGTGGTTTCTGGAGAAGAGCTTGTTCCAAGACAGCTGTGAGAACCACAAGACGTGTTTGTGCCCCAGGCGTATCACGGGCTTTACACATTGGCACACATTGTTCCGTGACCCACCAAAGCTAATTTTGTGCCGCCGTGTCACCTCCCCACCTCCACCCTCTCAGGAACGGCAAGGAGCGAAGAAGTGGGTCTTCTTTGCTTATTCGCCCTTGCAGAAACCCACATTATTCGCCCTTGCAGAAACCCTCGTTTCCTTTGAACAAGGAGCCCAGGCTGGAGCAGGGTCTAACAGCTTAACTTCTTCACGTCTCACAGGCTTCAGTGGAAAAATAGCTTTCAGTACCGGGGATTCGGCCCTTGGGATGCACCCTCCATTCAGACAGGACCCTTAGAGAAGGGACAGAAGTAAAATGAGCCTTGGCCCCTTTCCACCTCCGTGGCCCCGATTTAGGATACGCGTCTCATCGCACAAGAGCTAGAGAGCAGCCAGTGACATTTTGCAGGCAGCGGGTTTAAAATAAAAAAAAAAAGAGCTTTTTTTTTTTTTTTATAACCAACACATCATAAATTTGCTGCCCCAAACTGTTGCAGAGGCTGGGTGCAGGAAGAAGCTCAGACAAATGTATTTCGAGCAGGTCCATCCGGGCTATGAATGTTACCACGGACTCTGCACAGCCCCATAGCCGGTGCCTGGGAGGGAAGGGATCGCTGTACACATGCCCGGTTTCTTATATTCACCCTCTAAAGCACCTATTATTTGCCACCATCAGAGGCAGGGTCCTGGGGCTTACCGCGACGTGTGCGTGCATGCAGACTGAACAAGCCTGATGCTGGTTTCTTTGCAGCAGGTTTGGGATTAAGGGGAGCACGGTCAAACGGGGCCATTACGGCAGAACAAGGCAGTTGCAGGAAGCCGGACCTTGCTATAACCCTGCCATAAGCCAGATACAAGAAGGGCTAAATCCGCGGCAGCTATTGCAGGCACTGCCGAGCTCCCCAAGACGTCCACCCAGCAGCCATCTCACTTTCAGATACCAGTAAAGTCTGGATAGTCTGGGTGCCCCACCAATGGTAACTGAGGTGCCTACACGATGCCACCCCCAAATGACCCCATCTCATGTTGTCTAAGCCCCTCCATCCTCAAGTAGGCATTATCTTGCCTAATGCCTATCCGCCTGCAGGGCCTGATCCTATGGGAATTCGGGAGCCCGTCTACTCAATCAGGACTCACGCCGAAGACGACGAGGGATGCTGGCTGGTCCATTTTACCCTGCACCCCACCCACCTGGGAGGGAGGGGACCTCTTCGATGGTCGCTCTGATGTGAAGTGCAGACTTGACCCAGGGCTCTCGCATCGGGGAAGGGTGCCCAAATCACTGGGCAACTGGTTACTTTAGGGTGATTGCTGGTTTTCTCCTGTTGACGCTGGTTTCTATAGACTATTTCCCGGGTCAGAGCAATCGTGGTGGGGAAACCGTATCTATAGGCAGGAGCTAGGGAACTGAGGTAGAAGCTGTTTCACAGGGGCTTGGACCAGGCTCCTCGGGTGCAAAGTCTTGGCCATAAAGGCTGGGAGTTAGGCACTGTTTTGGGAGGCAAGCGGCCTGGGTCCAGCCTCTGCTGCTAACTCAAGCAGAACAGGGAGGGATTTGGGGGGCGAAGGAAGTGAAAACAGGTTTCCCTCGGTCCCCAGGAAGCAACCTTGCCCCCAAGCTGTGGGTCAGAGAGGTCTCGCCTCGCTCCTCTCGCGGAGAACTGGAGCCAGGCCAGCCCTGTGTGGACACAACCGAGCATCCCATGCTAGGCAGGCACCCCCACCCCGGGCATCTCCTTGATGTTCCCTGTGGGCAGCGCCCTCCTCAGCTGCCTGGCTTGGAGAGTCCCAGTCCTCGGACCTAACTCTGCGTTCGACATCGGGAGTTCAGAGCAGTCACTCGGGCCAACGGCAGCACAATATTGCAACCTCTCCCCACTTCTGCCAGTTTAGTCTGTGCGCCACGAGCCGTCAATCATGGGGTGTCATGTTAAATGGAAAGAGTAGGGGACACATCAGTCCTTACTTGGGACAGACTTACAAATCCCTCTGCCTGAATTAATACTGGATAGCTCGCCCTTGCAAAAAGCCACAGGCTGGAGCAGCTCAACTTGTGCACCTTAAAAATACATGCGCAAAACTCAACAGCTGGTTTTCCAGAGTTTGGTCCCTAAACTCAACTCCCTGTTAATGAATAAACCCCTGTTAATGAATAAATGGCTTCCCAATACTGCAGAAGGACACTGCACCCAGGAATTAATTCTCCCAGGCACTAATCCTCCTCCAAGGCTGAAATCAGTGCGGTGGAAGATAAGGGCCCAGCGTCTCACAGGGTCAGATGATGGGGGTACACAGCGCCAGCTTAGCTGACCAAGGCAGAAGACGTCCTCCCATGAGCGACCTTGAAGAAATGCAACAGCGACATCCCTGCCTTTTGGAAGGGAAAAAGGATCCCCGCTCCACCCAACTCAAACCAAGTTCATTTTGCCGTTAAAAGAAAAACAGGTAGAGAGATTTAAAAAATAGAGTACTTTAATTGTAAAAGGAAAATAACAACCAAAAAACTTTTATAAAATCAGGCATAAAAATAAATATGCAGGCTAGTAGAAATTCACATGAGGGACTGCTTGGGGCTCTCAGCTGCAAAGCACACACATCAGACGTTGCAGAAATACACCTGCTCCGATTGCACAGAAAGCATGTTAGTCAGGATTTGCATATACCCATGCCCTGCCTAGCATGTACCCACCACAAATGAGGAGCACATGCACTCCTGAGGTTAAAGCCAACCTAGTAACATTTTGCCACAAACTTTAAAATGAACATTATTTTGCATATCATATGTATACATAAAACTCTCTTTGGCTAGGAACATTTTTTTTTTTAAAAAATCAGAGTTTCCTATATTCAATATTTTTATACTGGATGTAGAGGGGTTGTTTCCAAATTGCAAAGTACTCATAGACAAAAAATCCTCCATAGTAAAAAACAAACGGGTCTTCAGGCATCCAATCTTCGGCCGCTAACAACAGCATTTTAAACGGGTTTGCACTGTCCATCGCCCTCAACGGGATCGCAACCTCTACGGGGTTGCTTTGATCCTGGAGATTTCCATTTTATTTGAGGTTCTCTCAACCCGTATTTAAAAAAAAAAAAAAAAAAAGAGAGGGGCAAAACCTCAGCAGATGCAAACCATCCTAGCTCAGCTGATCCTAACAGAGCTAAGATCTACTGCTAGATGTGTGGGGTGCCAGAAGGTGACCGGAAAAAGTCCCAGCGGTACTGCGATTTCTACTCATTCTGAAGACATCCCAGGTCCTGCCTTCTGCTGATCCTGGATGCAGACAAAGCACAGTATAAAAAAAGCACGAGGTTGTGTGTACAAAAGCCAAGGATCAGCAGGCAAACCTTTCCAGAATGGATGGGTCGCGCCTAGCCCTTTTGCTAACAAATGAACCTTTTGCATCGCTGGGTTTATTGGAACGTCTCGGCCATGAACCGCACCAAAAAATAAACAATAAAAATACAAAATTAATGTCTCTGGGCTTCTTGATGCACCGTTGAAAAGCTTTCCAAAGATTAGTCAGTGCCGGGACCAGAAAGGACTTATTCTAACCCTGACACTTAAAAAAAAACCAAACCCCCAAAACCGCTCAGACAGCGATTTGTTGATT